CAGGCAGACATTTCCAGTCTATTAGATGACAATCTCAATGGCTCACTGGTGCAGTAAGCCTGTAACTGTACAGGAGTATAAGGAATGTGGGAGTAACCTCGAGCACGTGAGGATTTGGGAAAGATTAACACTGCAAGAAGGAACACAAGGGATAGCTGAGACTGAGAAGGTCTATGCTGCAGAGAAGTACCTGTGTAAATAAGCCATTCTCCAGAAGAAGATACTTGACTCAGTGTAGTTTTCATTAGGTCAGGCCACCAGTGTTCCCTCTAATTTTTCCTACATGTGCAGAATGAATTTTGTTATGTGCACCAATATGGAGGATATGTGTGACATAGCACCTTCATATTGGTGCACATAACAAAATTCATGTGGTAGGGGTGGGGCCAAGGGGTTTGGAGTGTGGTAGGGGACTCAGGGCTGGGATAGTGGGTTGAGATGCAGGGGTGTGAGGGCTCCAGCTGTGGGTGCGGGCTCTGGGGTGGGGTTGGAGATGAGGGGCTCAGGGCTGGGGTTGGCATGGGGTGTGTATGTGTGTGAGGGCTCTGGGGTGGGGCCAGGGATGAGGAGTTTGGGGTGCAGGCTGCCCCAGGGCTATGGCAGGGAGTGAGGATTCCCCCCAGCTCTCTCTCCACAGCAGCATCTGGGCTGGGAAGGGAGAGGCACCTCTCCCCGCTGCAGCAGCTCTGGGACTGGGGCCATGCGATAGGTCCCTCTCCCCCACCCATGGCAGGTCGAGGGGTGGGCTGGGGCCGGGAGACTGGCACCTATCCTCTGACTATGGCAGGTTGGGGAGGAGGGGGCAGGCTAGGTGGGGGCCGGGAGAGGGGCACCTGTCCCCCGGTCACAGCAGGTCGGGGGGCCAGGCTAGGTGGGGTCCGGGCACTTCTCTCCCAGCTGTGGCTGGGTTGAGGGAGAGGCACCTGTCCCCCGGCCACAGCAGGTCCAGGCCAGAGCTGGGTTGAGGTTGGGGGAGGAGCACCTGTCCCCCGGCTGCAGCAGGTTCGCCGGGGCTGGGTTTCCTAAGCCCCTGCACAGTGCTTAATAGGCTGCTGCATGGCCACACAGCTCACAGGGAATTTAGCAGGCAACCCCCACTCACATTTATTTGAAGAAGCCAGGACACTGCTTCCCTAAATTTGGGGAGAGCAAGTCATATATTTAAGGGTATCCTAATTTAATAGGTTACCTGGACTTACACAAACAGTAAGACCTTTGCTTCTTTCCCTTGGACAAACAGCTTTTGGAACGAAAGCCCCTATTAAAAGCTGCCTTTTAAATTCCTAGCATAATTTAATTGTACAAATCCAACTAACAGAATGGTGAAACAAACTTGCAGAAGTTTAATGTTACCTTTAATAGCTGTTGTACTAGTGCGCTGTTTGGCCCCTTATCAGTACTGTGCACAATACAGTTAGCTATCCTTGTTAAATGACCCATATAACCATGCCGCCTTCCTCCTTCAGCCCTGAAAAAGAGTTGTTCAAATGTTCATTTTCCCAAATAGCTGGCTGTTGAAGTATTTTGTAGTTATGGAATGCTAAGCCTATAAATCCAAGGAAGCAACACAAAAATTTAGACCAGACAAGCGAGGAAGCAAAGTACTTTAAATACTCGTAAGGAGAATGAGTAATGTATACTTCAAACCAAAACGTTTTTGGGCTGCTAAAACACGTTTTTTGGGCTCCCTCTCTGAACTGTTTTTAAAATGCATAAAGCTATCCATAAAGAAAGAGAAGCATGTTTAGTCATCAAGTTATTCTCCTGCTTCTACATAGTTTTGAGGGAAGTTAGTCTGGTCAGAATAAGAGCGAAAATCCATTTAATATTAGATCCAATTTGCTAACAGGTTTGGAGAACCTACCTCACATAGTGTTAAGTATCAGAGGGGTAGCCGTGTTAGTCTGAATCTGTAAAAAGCAACAGAGGGTCTCACTGGCGTCTGATGAAGTGGGCATTCACCCACAAAAGCTTATGCTCCAATACTTGTTAGTCTTAAAGGTGTCACAGGACCCTCTGTTGCTTTTTACCTCACATAGGATGTTCAGACACCTTTCCTGAAAACTAATACTTTTCACTTAATACTTCAAAATATTCCAGAAAGGGAGTTTTGAGTCTCTAACAGTGCTAAGACAATTCACTAATTTAGGCTACAATAAAATATTCCCAGATTTTGTAAATTCTGTCCCAGGGCTAGCCTAACAAACTTCTACATACTAGATTAATTGGGACTGTAGTTGAGAATGGCATTCCGGACATTACTAGAAATTCCTAGGTCTTTGTCCAAAGTGTTCCGCTGCCAAAGCTAACATGCCTGACAAGGAACTGGAAATAACAGCTCCCAGAATGACACCTTGCAGGGCTGAAGGATAACAGTTAAGCCTAGCTGGAGCTAACCTAGCCTTGAGAAACTGAAAGACAAACATCTAGATCTGAGCTGCACTGCCAAACACCAGCAGCTGGTTGCAGGACAGGGATATCTGTCCTCAGCCTGGACATATTGGCTTCATTTGAGGACAAGCAAGATTGGGTTAAAGAACCACTTGCCCAGTTGGGCAGGCAGGCATCCAGTCTGCTGTTCAAATGGAGCTTCTCAGTTATAAAAGCAACTAGATGGGCAGCCCAGGAGAAAGAAAACTTAGACGCCATATCTTGCACAAAGAGCTTGTCTACATAGGGACACTAAGGAAAATGAATCCAAATTAACTAAAGGTGTTAAAGTAGATTAGTTAAAATGCATTAAACCCGTGTGGAAACTCATGCAGAATTAAAGTGATCTTAATTAGGTTTTGTTTAATGAATTAAAGACTTGTCTACACTGTGCCACAATGCACACTACGGAGGTGTGAAAAAGCAGAGTACACCAAAATGTTATGCTCTAACTGCACCACATGGATGCTGCTGGCACAAACTAAAAGATGCGTAATTCACATTAACATAGCCCTGTTTGAAAGACTGCATTAAACCCCTGTGTGGAGACACATTCAGAATGGAAGTGGCCTTAATTCAAATATAGCTTAATGCAGGGGTTCTCAAACTGTGGGTTGCGATCCCAAAGTGGGTCTCAACCCCATTTTAATATTAGACACCTTATTAAGAGTTACACTTTTATCAAAGTCTCTTAACTGATGCCCTTTCTTGATGATATGAATCAAACCTGATTATAGTGAATATTTCACCACCCCAACCCACAATAAGAACCAAGACAAGATGTTCTCGTGAGTCTTTTAGCTACAATTCAATCCAATTTAAAACTCACTTGGTCTTGCTTTTAAAGTTAATTGATTAAAGCACTGAGATCCACATGGAGTGTTGTCAGTTACTGTATTTAGAGAGGCAAGACAAGCCCCTCAATGGAGAAACACAACCATCAAGCAGAATCTCTTTGAGCATTGTGAAAGCAGAGAAGTTATTTAAGAATTGCAAGCTTAAGCACTGACATACACTGTGTGCACACTTACAGCCAAGTGTGGTGTTCTTCCAGACTTAATCTGTACAACATTTACTCCTGGGAGAATATTGCACATGCAAAGAATTTATGACCCCCACAGATTTCTTTGCTTCCCTGCAGAAAAATGACTTTCTGATGGGGAAGCAAAGGGAAGCCACAGGAGCGGTCAAGCAACCCTTCCTGGCAGTATGTTTTGGGTGCCCATGGCAGCCGGCAGAGAGGTAAATCACTGTGGGGCAGGAGATGGAACTGAGAAAGACGCAGCTGGTGGCTCCTAACATGTGTAGGCTCAGTTGCTAATCCAGGCTGGGCTAGGGAGGACGGGATTTCCTCTTCCCCTGGACAGCATTCGCGGCCAGGTCAGACCCACCCACAGATTTCTCCCCCAGCTGCAGAAAGCTCTGCAAACTCGCACACCCTCTCCCTCTGCTTCCTGCACCCATCGCTCCTCAGCTGCAGGGGGAAGGATCTCTGTACAAGGAGCTGCTCCCTCATCTGCCCAACCCCTGTGCATCCAGACGCCCTCATACCCAGACCCTCCTGCTGAACCTAATCCCCCCCATCCCCTGCACTCAGAACCCTCCCGATGAGCCTCGAGCCACCCACACTCAGATCTCCGCCCTACCAAGCCCCAACCAGTTGCACCTCAATACCCACCCCACTGAGCCCCATTCCCCCAGCATCTGGACACCCCCCACCCCACTGAGCCTAGCCTCCCACACCCAGACCCTGCTGAGCCTCAACCACCTTCACCTGGACCCCCTGCAGAGTCCCATTACTATTGCACCAAACCCCTCCCCACCCCAACAAGCCCCTCTGCATCCAGATCCCCTCCACACCCGGATACCCGACTGAGCACAGAGGGGCGGGGCTCTGGGGTGTTTCTGGGGCAGGCCCTGTCCTTGCACTGTGTTAGGATTGGGTGCAGCCTCACTGCTGAGTCTGTCTGGGATGGGGGTGGAGGGAGCTGCACAGTGATCTCTCACTTCTGTGCAGCCAGTGGCCTGTGCTCCTCAGTGCCATGCTGGAGCCTCCACATTTATTTGACAAATAACATTTAAAGAATTTTGCAGCATTTTAAAATATTGTGTACAGAATTTTAATTTTTTTGGTGCAGAATTTTTAATATTTTGGCGCAGAATGCCCTCAGGCGTAAACATTGTTTTACCTCTCCCTTTCTATCTGGTGCTCTATAAATCCTACATGAGTGATTGCTCAGGGTTTAGGAATTTATTTATTTAATTTATTTATTTTTTGGTAATGAATTAAGGAGACTGAAGGCCTGAAGTGAGTGACTGCTTTTGTTTATTTAATTACCAGTTCCTCCCTCTCCCTCATTCCTACAGTACACCTATCAGCCTAAAACATGTATAAATTAGCATAACAGATGACTTGTTATCCTTATAACTGTCCATATATGAGGCAGAGAAATGACCGGCAGTTTCTCTCCCCATTTAAATCATGGTCTATTTTGGTGGTTGGAGGTACTACTTCCTATTGTGGGTTTGGAAGTATTTGGATATCACGGAAATGGGCATAGTATGAAAACCTAACTAATAGCTGGTCTCTTTCATTTCTGTCTATATCAAAAAGAGAAGCAGACTCCACAAGACCAGAGCATTTGGCCAGGAATAAAAACAGTGAAAGGAAGAAGAATATGGATTCAACATCAGAAAATGAGAGACTATGTTCTATTATAAAGACAAAAAGATTGTAGAAGTTAAAGAACCAAGCCAAGAACAGCCCCTCCGTAATTTTGCTTTATAATGCATCCCCTCCCCCAAAACAACTCTCGTGAAGTTTAGATTGTAAGCGCTTGAAGGTCCTTGTCTGAATTGTCAGGCATAATTTTTGGTGCTATATAAATAGTGTGTAATATTAATTAATTGGTGTCCTGTCACAGGAATGTAAGGGCTTGTCTTCACTACCCGCCTGGATCGGCGGGTAGAAATCAATCTATCGCATCTCGTCGGGACGCAACAATCGATCCCCGAATCGATGCGTGTACTCCACCAACACAGGTAGGAGTAAGCGCTGTCGATGGGGGAGCCGCGGCAGTCGATTTGCCACCATCCTCACAGCGGGGTAAGTCGGCTCAGATACGTCGAATTCAGCTACGTGCGTATCTTAAATCGATTCCCCGCCCCCCCAGTGTAGACCTAGCCTAAGTCTCACATTAGGCTCCCAATTTTAATAATCCTTAGGGGGGAAAAAAAACTTACTGAAGAACAAAACAACTGGGATTTCTTTCGTTACATTTACTACAGTGTGCAATAAGAGTTAAAGGTGGGTTTGCATATTGCATATTTCTTACACGAGTCACTTCCATGCGTACGCAATACATTCTCAGTTCTTTACTGTAGTAGGTTACCAGCCACAGGTATCAAGCTGCTTTACATGAAAAAGTCAGAGAACTGGCCTGTGTGCTAAACATTGGTTCATCTTTGAGAAAGTCTGCACATCTTTTAATGGGAGCTTGAGGTTAGTAGATCTGTAGGGAGTCATTTTCCATACTACTTCCTCATGAGAGTTCAGTGTCAACAACACTGTCCAACAAAGCACACCAAGATCTTTGCAGAATGAAAAGTTACTTAGCTTGTATAGTAACTGAGTTCTTCAAAATATGGGTCTCTACTGGTATTCCACTGCTGGTATGCATGCGCTCCATGAGCCAAAC